CCTTTAAAACCATTTCTAACTTTGAAATGGTACACAGTTTGGAGACAAATACAGTAAGATCAAAAGCAGACACTCTGAGAATTCAAATTTGCACTGAAGTCCTTCATGAGTAGAAAATTTACTAATGAGTCAGACTATTTGAGACAATACTACTAAACCCCGAGAAAAAGTTGGAAGACCCTGATATTTCTTTTTACTGGGAATGATCCCTTTACATGTTTAATTCTGCTGACTTGAAAGACATTTCACATGGGTACTGGTGGCAGGAGATGTCAGTGTGGTGGGGGGTTGACTAGAGGACTGGAAGGCCATGGGAGTGGGGAGTGGACAGGTAAGGGTGGACCAAAGGAAAAGAGACAATTGGTATCCAAAGGTAGAGACCTAAAATATAAAAAGAATGAAACTACAAGAAACAGTTAAACTCATTTAAGAATTTAGGGTGCATTTTCTATTTGCATCTTAGAGGTCTGCCACAGAGATCAGCAGCTGAGAAGGCTGTTGGTGTGGAACATCTGAATGCTTCTCCACCTCTTCGTTATGAAATCCAGTCTTAACTTAATCCTAGCTTAAACTGCTGATGGAAGTACACTTTATTGCTTCTGTCTGTCTTTGCCCTAACATGAAGGACATTTGATCAGTCGTGGTGTGAGTGGGGTATGTGCTGGCAGAGGGGCAGCACCAAACAGCTAGGAGTGATACTGAAAGCATCCAGCCATCTGCAGAATCGGTAACTGTCAGTGCCTACAGATAAAAAGTTTTTACAACAGATTGCTGCTTGCTAAATTGAACTTGACTTGTAGTGAAAAAGGGATATCTTTTTTTCCAATTTTGCAGTTCGTGAAAGAACGGTGAAGATCGCTAAAGGAACTGGCAATTACCCTTGGGGATTCAGGATCCAGTTCTCAAAGCCTATCCTTGTGACAGAAGTTGACACAAGTATGTTGTGTTTGTACTAGTAAACTTCTCCTATAAAAATGTATATAAATAAATATATACTATTTGGTAATACGATATGATAGAATACGATCTACATAATAGAGAACATCTGCTTTCTAGTAATATGTAATATAGGTGTACATAAATAATTTCAGTAGTTGGTGGGTGTAAAGTGTTTAATATCATGTCCCTGAACTGCTCCTGACAAACTGTCTTAGGGCCACAGTATGCCTGTGGGTAAACCAGAAACCACTGCTCTCTTTCTTCCCATGCCAGTTGATACCTTATGCAAGTGTCTGCATCCAGCCTCTCTCCAGATGTAAAGTCTAAAACTTTTGGGGACTGACATCTATTAATTTAAGAATGACATGGAGGATGCAGTGATCCTCATAACAACATTTTCAAATTCTAATTAGCTAGGGACACTTCTGCTTGGACAGGTTTCCATCAGACCATCTATAAATTTTAAGAGGTGTGCTGCTAACTTCTGCAAGGTAGTCCACTGATTGTGAGGAACTCCAGAAGAAACTCACAAAACTGAGTGAGTGGGCAAAAAAGTGGGAGATGAGTTTCAACAAAGATGAAGTGGAAGCTAATGCCTCTAGAGAGAAATGATCTATACTATGCCTACATGATGGAGAACATGGTATTGGCAGTTATGCTCAGGAGTAATCTAGGGAGTCACCACTGAAAGGTCCCTGAAATCATCAGCTCTGTGTCATATGCAATGGCAGCTTAGAAATCTGGCTAAAAGCTGTCTCCATCAGTAAATAGCAGTGAGAACAAGACGCAGGGAGTCATTTTGCTGCTACCTAAAACCTTGGTTAACCCAAATCTAGAATGCCGACATCTAGAGTATTGCTTGCTGTACTGCTCTCTGCATCTCAGGACAGACACAGTAGAATTAGAGAAGGAACAGAGGGGACTCAGATAAATTTCTATTACCAAAGGCAGATATAATGAAAAATGTCATCCTAGACCAACAATGCTAGTGTGTGCCCTCTAGCAAGACATCTAAGAATAGTTCTGTCACTTTCCAGCCTTATGTATTATATTTTCCAGCTTCCTGACAGTGCTGGAAAATCCTGTGAATTCAGAGACCTGTGAATCCATTAGCTGAACCCGTAATTTTAAAAACTGCCTGCTTAGCTACTAAATGGGGTCATCATTAAACTCCACTAGGGAAGATCAGAAGAGTCACAAATCTGAGCAAGGGAGCAACATGCAGAGAAAAAAAAAATGCGTATCTGAAAAGAACAACACTTTATGAACACTTTACAACTCTAAGAGTTGTATTAGAAATCTTGAGATCTGAACATAGTTGGATTTATACCTGTCATATTTTTTGCATGATTCTGCTGTTCAGTTCTAAAAGTCATTCTAACTTGTTGCCTGAGACCAAATGGTCTATTTATTAAATACTAAAAAGAAAGCCTTCAGTCCAGAAGAGGAACTCAGGCAAAAGGCAGGCCTATTCAAAAGAAATAAGGGAAAAGTTCAGAAATGGTTGCTTTACTTTCTGTATGGCTATGCCTGCTGCTTATCAAAGGATCTCATAATCTTTTAATGTAAACTACATGAAAAAAAAAAAGTACTTTGACGCCAGATCCTAGAGATCATTCTGTGTTTATACGTCCGAATACAATCAGGAATTTCCATTATCAATTGAAGCTTTGTCAGTAATGCAAATCTAAAAAACCTTTGCCTACAGAATACTGTACAAAGGACTTAGTAAGATTAAATTGTGGCTAAAGTGGCTATGTGATGTTCTTCATCCTGAAACAGCTACATAATTTTAGTCCAGAATATTATTTTCTATAGCCTCTGAGACTAGATAATCTTCACAGTATAACTGACAAGAAAAGTGATTTACTGTGAATCTCAGAGGGTAATTTTCAATGAAAAAATTTGTTCTACTCATCTTAGTAGAATGTACTTTTGACTACAAGGTTAAAGACCAGTATCATTCATTGCTAACTAATTTAAGAAAACAAAATTATTTGGCTCAGCTGAAAATTAATTGTGCTCTAAACAGCACAACTATAACAATGTGTGTGTGCTTGGACAAAGAACTTTTATTATCAGATTGCTGAGAATTTCAGTACCTATTGACATAAAATTATCCCTGTTGCAAAGAAATGTTTCTTTTCTCTAGGATTATAAGTTTTAGGTGATTTCCCAATTGTAAACATAGATATTCCTTAGCATTCTTATATCAAAGAGTATAACCTCAGAAGAGGTCTTTCAAATTAGAATGTGGTCAAGTTTTTTACCTAAATATAAATAAATGGTCATGTCTGCAACATTAGCCCTAATAGCTACCAAGTTAATCTGTAACTACTACGTATAGCGAAACAGCTACTCGCATTGTATATCAGTTCTCTTAAGTTTATTTGTATGTTTTGTTTTCAAATGCAGTTGCTTTAAAAGAGCAACAAAACAGAAAAAAAAAAGAGCATTCTTTTTTACAGACAAACTTCTAGTAAAATTCTGTTTTCTCATAATATGACTCATTTCATTAAAACAAACATAAAAATTGCGTTTGTATCCCTTTTCGGTTGCACACTGAGGCATTTTAATAATATTTTAAAGACCACTTATGATCATAAAGTCTTGCATTAAATCCTTAAGTCCAGCACAAACCAAAAATGTGCTGGCATTTGCAAATTTGCAAATTATTTTTAATACACAGGAGGGTGAACCATGGCTTTTTTGTGCCTGTTTATTATTAAGCTTTTACAAATCTCTTCCCTACAACTTCTAAGCATCCTCAGGAATTCACTGAACGATCACATTTACTACGTGATAGGGTACAAAATCTTTAAAAATATACATTAAAAATAGTATGGACATGGAACAATATTTTCCAAAAACATTTTTTTCACGGTGCATTAGAAATACTTAATTATAAATGCAAAGGGGGACAATGTGTCCGAGAAACTTGTAAATGGTATTTAAGTAACTGTATTGGTGCCTGTGAAGGGAGCATATATATCACTGCCCAAATTTACTTCCATTCCTGCCTGGCATACGTCTGAGCCTTATTTCATTAGGGGTGCATATGCATTGCAACAGTTACCACATAAACAAAAGGTTGATATATCAACAAATCTGATTCAGTCCCTCCTTCACTTAACCCTTGTTAATTTAGGATGTTATTTCCTCCTAAAGACAAAACCCACAAAACACTGAAGCCAAATTCTGTTAACCAGCAAGAGAAATATCAGCACAGAAAGTAGTCTTTTAGTGTTAAATCCAAAGCTCACCAGAATAATAGGTGTTTTTTGTACTGACTTTACTGAACATTGCATCAGATCTTTGTTTGCACTTTAGGCCAGAACCCTCAGATACTGAAATGCCTGATTGCATCTTCCAGCATTTAAGTCCTAGTGGCATTTTTAATGGAATTTCTCCACTGCCAGTGATTATCTAGAGTTGAACCAGTAACTAAATCCTGAAGTTTCATTTAGAGATGACTAAGAGATTGCTCAGAAAAACCTGCTCCACCTCCAAGTTGACATCACAAAGCCCCCAAATCATAGTCCTTGGCTGGTTGGGTAGATAACCTGTTTTGCTAGAAAAGCTTGATCACACAGACACACTTGATATCCTAACTCTAAATAAAATGAATTTTTTGATTCCAGACAGTGCAGCTGAAGAAGCAGGGCTTCAGGTCGGGGATATTCTTATAGCAGTCAACGGAACTGATGTCACCAGCATGCCACATTCAGAAGCTGCCAATCTGGCAAGGAAAGGTAAGTTTGAGATCACAGTAAATTACGTGGTTGGGTTGGGATTGCTGTACAATGCTCCAAATGCATCTAGACATGTTGGATGATGGATGCAACAAAAATCTTAATTAACAGTTTAATGCATTAGTATTTAATACAGTATTATTGCCTAAGTCACGTTTTTATCTAGACCTTGCTAGGAACACAGAAGAAAATGGACATACTAATTATTCCCGATGAACATGTCACAGTAGTGCTTCTGGCTCTGTTCACTTAAAGGAAGTCACTGAGAAATTCCTAAAAGTGACTGAAGAGATACCAATACCTTATTTATGCCTTCTTTTCCCTCAAGGAGAGACTTCACAGCTTGGTTCAGTGCACCCAGTAGTCACTTCTGTGTCACCAAGACCTGAAATCTGGTCAGGAGAGCAGAGAGGTGATTTCATGAGGCAGCACCACAGAAACAAGGAGTGAGAGATATTAATCATGCATATTCTTCCTAGAATTCTGATGACTAAGCCCCAAAGATACCCATGTTGACATACTGAAAGTTAATCTACTGCAGTTCTTTTATTTATCCCAGATACATTTTTGACAAGAGCTCACAGGAAATGCAATAAATTAAAATCCTTTTACAAGACAGTGACAAATTTAACTCGACACATACCAAGTTCTTTAATTATAAAGGTGCCATTCACACTGTTATATTTGAGAGTACGTTGAGTCTTTTAGTAGATAAATCTCTTATTACTGGGTATTTTTAGCTCCTCAGAGAACACCCCCTGGCCTAAATCTTGGCACACAGACAGCATTCCCAAAGTCTAATGTCCCCAAAAGAGAAATCCAGCAAATGTTTTGCAAATGAAAATGTGTCACAGCCACATTTCTCAATCCTCTTTAAGGCATTACCACCTGCTCTGAAGTAGTATCTGATATAATTAGAATTTCAAGCCTTTAGGATCAAAGCCATAGATTTATTGATAGTATTAGTGAATATTTGAAATTGTACCTCATTGTTGATAACAGCAACACATTTTTAAACAATCTTGTAACCTAACATTGAGCCCTTACCTTTTGCAAATGATAAGTAGATATTTTAGCACAGGACGCCTCAGTGAGGGGAAAGATAACAGACTGAAGGTGCCCCTAAGAGCACTCTCAGCAACTTTTGTATAAACTCCAATTTATGTACACCCATTTGAGCAATGAAATCCAACCGCTTCTCTAAAGTGATAAAATATGCAAGCAGTTAAGATGCTGCTTGCAAAGGTAAGTCACAAAAACTGTTCTAAGAGGTGTCTTCAGATAGCTAGATCCATTACTAGTCCTCAGCACAAAATTAGTTTCATTACTGAATTTCAGTGAAACGAAGGCCAAATATTGCTTGATTTAATTCATTGTTTCCTAGCCTGCTTTTCGTCATGTTGCTTCTAGAAGCTACATTGGTAGGAGAAGGGCATGGCATAGAATACTGCCTTCCTGCTCCATACCCCATGGGGGTATTCAGGTATTCAAAAATATTGACAGACTGAAATATAGTTTTCACCTATGTTTTCACATTCTTCATGTAATATTTTAGGTCCTGATATCCTGACTATGGTGGTGGGATCCGATATCAGCCGTTACCCTAACACCCCCAGACCAACATGCCGAGGATATCTCCATAAACGAACACAGTCGGCAATATTGAAGGGCTGGAGGAAGAGGTGGTTTGTGCTGAAACATAATGGATACCTACACTATTACAAACACAAAAAGGTAAGCAGAGAGTCTAGTGAGGAATCAAGCTGCGCCATGAACTACAAAGTACAGCAAATTGTACTCATATTTACAAATAATTATCTTGACTTGTAGTATTTGCAGAATAACACCAGCACTAAAGATGGGTTTGTATGTGGTATATAGAGGAGGCTTATTGAGTACCTATATCCCAGTCACAGACATAGACACTGTCAGGCTTTTATGGATTGAAATTTAATTTCTTAGTTCTGATCAAGAACTATGTGAATTGAATAGGTTCTAGGAGGCTTTGGATGAGATTAAGTAGCTGCAGATGTGTAGGAGCTCTATATTCTGTCTATTGTTATATGCATTTTCTTATACAGGCATGACCATGAGATTTCTTTGTGTGAGTCAATATGCTATAAACCTGCACAGAGAGGTATTGGGAAGGCTCAGTTTCTCCAGAGTAGTATTGCTTGGCACTTCATCCTCTGTCATGTGGGCAGGGACCTGTACAGTGCTTAGTACTTTAAGTAGTATATAAGATTTTAACTTCATCTAGCAGTAGACATCCAAAAAAGGAGTAGAACACGTGCTTCAGGAAGAGAAATATTTTACTTGGCTTTATCCTGAGGTTCCAATTCAATCGGCATAATTTACAGCCCTCTAATTGCATGGTGAGTCTTAATGGCCCTAAATGGGTGGCTTCATGGTTATCACAACTACAAACATTTGAGTATTCTACGTGGTTATTCACCACTAAATAAATGAATAAATAAAGACATCGCATTTAAAAAGAGGAAAAAACAAAACGAGTTTTCCCTTGAGGCGGTTAGCTCCTGGGGTGGGAGACATGGGCAGTGGATAGCAGGCCTGGTTTATGGCCCTGGCTGGAGTGGAGCCCATGAACTCACCTGCCCTACAGTAGGGTTTTACAGTAGTTTGTGAGGTGCTTCAGTGGGTGCTGCATGTAATTACAAGTTACTAATCCCTTCCCCCGGATAGCTTTATGATGAAGTTATTCATTGAGAAAGTTATGTCTATAAAACCAAACAGATTGATTTCAAAGCCTGTTGTCTGTTCGGGGCTTTTTATGGTAAAACATCTTACAGCTTGTAAAAAAGATACAAGATCAACATCTTACAGCTTGTAAAAAAGATACAAGATCATTCACTTCACAAATATTTTAACCTTAGAACAATAAAACTTAGTGAAGCTGAGAAAACTTTCCTTGGTGAGGGCTTTATCTACTGATATCTGCTGATCAAGCCCATGTAGCTTCCAGAGAATCTCTTAGTAACCTAGGAAGAACTTCAGCAGAAATATCAGGAGGTTAGAAACAGGTTTGTCTCCAACACACAATGTGAACACATTCCAGTGAAATACAACCATGTCCACCCTTAATCAGAAACTACTTGAGAACCTGAGCATAGCATCAAGTCATTCACCTGTAAATAATTTTTATCTTTACTAACATGGTCACACACCTTTTGGTCAACTTAGCATATAAAGGATGTAAATGTACATGTACACACATGCATGTGTAGACATATCAGCACAATTTTATAATAAATATTAATATAATCTAGACAATAAGATGGTTTTAAAGAAGTTCAACCAACAGAAGACAATAGGGAAGCTAATACTACCGACTTCAATTCTGATTGTGAATCTACCTTGATATTGTGGTTTTTTTCTATGATTTCATACATCAATCTCCCATTTATATATTTCATTTTTTGCTCATATATTGAGCAAAACATTGCTCATGTATTGCTCATATTATTGTCTCTTTGGTCATTTTTACATGAATAGTAGAGCCACTCCACTAAAACCCTCACTTGAAATTTTTCCTTTTTAGTAAAAACTAGAAACCAAATTATTTTTACCTGAAAGATGCTGATGCAATGCTTCACAAGGACTGTACTTTGAGGACTGCTTGGATTAGTCTTTCTCTAGTTCAAGAACTCTTACACCTCCCACAATGCATTCTGGTTCCCCCTCACGGTGATTCTAAGCGTAGTCTTTCACGGACAATACTGTTCAGATGAAGAAAAGGATTCTCATGAGGCACAGCAATTTCATATCCAAACTGAAATTAATCAAGCTTTCAACATTTAAACTTCTTGATCATAACCAAACACTTCTGTGGGGAAAAGACATTTTGTGAAAAGTAATTAAAATTTTTAGAAAGAGCTTGCTCTTCTACAATTCTCTATCCACCTGACATTTCCAGCAGAAAATCTGGTAGGCTTATTTCTCTGCATATGCCATGATACACACACTGGCCATCTAATGAGGGTTATGGGGCAGAACCACTGGGTATGCAACAAAGCAGTCTTGCTTTGCATCCTCATTGTTAGAACACTGCCTATCTGGTCTCAAAACAAAAACAAATAAATAAATCACACCATAAAAAGAATACAAATGGACAGAGGTATTTGTTTGGACAGAATTTTTTATTTTATCTTAGTCAGGTCCTTCATCAAACTCCTGAAATGTAAAAAAAAATCTAGTTATGCTATTTAAATACTCTCCATTTCCAGTCAGTTAAGTACCTCTGAAGACCAAGAATGTTAGATAAATTGTATTGAGGATTAGAAGATATCCCATAATTATACATTAATTAATATTTAATTACATTTTCTTTTATTTCTTTCAACTAACAGGTTTCTTTTTAAGCCTATCTGTTCTTCTCCAGCTAGCTTTGTCATATTTACTGCACTGAAAAAATTAACTATTGCAATCATACCGACCTTATGTTTTGATGGTAGAGTCTTTAGCCTGAAAGGATGCATTTGCTTTTGCTTAAAAAGAGTAAATAAATGTAAAGCACTGCATAAATATTTTATAGTAATAACTACTGGTTGTTTTCTTGCATTATCCAAAACTAGTGCCATTCAACCACTTTGTAATTATTTCATGCCATTTTTTTGTCAGCTGCTCTCCAAAGAATACACTGAACTATTGCAGTACTGTTTTAGAAACCGAAAGCACAAGGGCCTTCACTACCTCCTGTGCTTACAGAGTACTTTGAAGAGTCATTTACTAAGACAGAAAGAAAAACACTTAAATACGAATACAGTTCTTCACTACTGGGAGATCCAATGCTCAAATGAAGTAGGTGGGAGCTCAAATGGACTTCACCTGTTCCTTCTTTTGGTATGATTTCTGTCAGAGCATAAGAAGAAATGTGCATACAGATGCTGTTCATCCCACTTTCTTTTCTAAGGGAATTACAAATAATGTTATTAGTTTAACATAGCATTTATGTGACATCAGCTGCACTATTAAGTTGGAAACAGTATGTTCCAGGCCGTGCCTCACTCAGGAAGAAAAACTTTTCCACTTAGTGGATATAAAATGTTCTTTGAAACAGTTCATTGAAGGCAGGAATAATTCAGGGAGACAAAAATAGTTCAGGATAATCTGCATGTCAGTATCCAACAAACTCAATAGAGTCATCAATATTCAGGTCTTGATTCAGATGTTAAAACAAGTTACAATGGTGTAATTCCAGTGACTCCAGCAAGGTCATGCCTGATTTCCAGCTATGTAAGAAGACAATCAGATCTTTTATTTATGTCTGAAGGGGTGCATATAATGTTTTGTCGTGGAGAAAGGAAAGGGTGTTTCATCTTCTGCTTTAGTCCATATCAACAAACACAGAGAGCTACATGTCCTCATCATTGCTATTTACAGGCAGAAATTATCCATCCTGAGCTTTCCTTTTCCCACCTACATTAAAAAAGAGATTAATGTTTCTGGAGCTTTTTACATATTGACTCACCCATGTAATTGCTGCTTTTTCATCTCTATCCAATCATGTACTGGTGAAGTGATAGCTGTTGCAACAGATTCAGTCACTTTACATACAAGGTCATTTTGTTTTCCCTCAAACAAGTGTTGCCACTGACCTTGACTCTACAGTCCATATAGGTAACTAAAACACATTTTTCATTCCAGTGGACATAGCTGTGTTTGCCACCTCATAGCAGAAATATTGGGCATATTGGGTTAAAACCTTGTTCTGTGTAAATTGCTGAGATCAGTAGAGATACAGTGATCTATAATATCTTTGCCGACACTTAACAAGAGTGGGTTCCACTAGACACTCTACCGTCCTGATCCCCCACTGTCCAGACCACTGGATCTTCTCAAACATGCTATTTCCTTCCCCTAAAGGAAAGACATCTGGACATTGTGAGGAGATAGACAGTGATGTATACCTAAGTCCTTCCCTGAGGCAAGTAGGAGCAATAAAGTTTCTTGTATTTGAACATACACATTTTTTCAGGGAAGGCTGAAAGCACATCAACATAGGCAAACATTGATCCTTTCTTTACAGATAATAGTGTCTGCTCCTCTAAAACTAGCATTTGTTGCTCAGCACAGTAAAGCAACTATAAAATCACCACAACGTGTCTGTGGTGAACACTTCAGTGTAGGACAGAGAAACCTTGACCAGCTTTACATGACACCAGTAAGATAACAAAAGCAATCTAGCCACAGCAATACAGCATCCCTTCAGCAGGTTAAATAAAGTTCACACAGATCTCTGAGCTGACGTCCCAAAGTCACTTTTAGAACCTGGCATCTAACTTGGAAACTTTACAATATGCTGCAGCCTTCAGGATAAAAAAATACCAGTCTTGCAAAACAATTAAAAAGGAGGAATATAATTCCTGGGACCCAGGAATAAATGGGCTTTAAAGGGGTTTAAAGGCTGTGGAGCATGCATTCCTCTATCATAGGACATAGGTGCTAGAGAGCTAACAGTGTTCTAGGCTCTATAGCAAAGCACAATAACAAGGCAAGCATTATAGCCAAAAACACGTTTCCCAAAATTGCTCATTGCAAATATCCCTCAGCTCAGCAAACTAAATGCAGGGATTTATAAATCCACTAAAAATGCCAGCTGAAGCCAGAATTTCCTAGTTTCAGTTCATTGTTGCTTTCTTTCTATGTAAGACTGGTTAAAAAATAAGTATCACGAGTTTTTGTGGGTCAAAGAAGAGGAAAAAAAAAGGTAGAGTTAGGTAGATAAAAGAATTAACAAAAGATCATGTTTGTAAGAATGCCCTCACTCCTCTCTGGTTTGTGTCTTGCTATCTTCCTAGAAATTATTTCCTGTCCTTTTGCCATAAATAGACCATGGGAAAGAAGATAGTGAGACAGATAACCAATCCAGTACCTGAAAAGGAAAATATGAAGTAAATATCATTGAGGTTATGGTCTAGGAGAAGCTACAAAGATGACTGTCTCCAAACAGGAAAGTGTTACCAATGTATCTCCCCTGCAGATTTCCTTTCCAGATATCAGAGACTGATGTATTCTAGTGAAATCAGCTCTTTCTGTCAGGTTCTTGTATTACATTTGTCATTTATTCCATTTCCCTCACCAGTTCCTCAGTGGAACAATAGTAATTCGAAATAAATGTCTAAAGAGCGTAAGTTTGCTGCCAGCATTTTGTATGGACTCAAAGTAGGAAAGTCAAAAAAAGAAACTGTAATAAGAAGGAAGTGGGAGCAGTTATCTTGGAAGGAGTAGTTAAGTTGGAAATCACTGTCCTGACAGTAGAAAAGAGCATGTTTTGGAGATTCGGCTGTAGCAAGAGACTGAACTGTGAATAATGAGCAAATTCACCTTGATGTGTAGCCCAAGCCTCAGAGGAATGGCCTTCCTGATAGTTCATGGTTGTAATGCTCTGAAACATGCTGTAAGGAAACTGCAACACATACTCTTGAGAAATTATCCCACTGAACATAGTTGCAGCTGTGAACGAGAGGGATGTGCTTTTTGTCAGTCTTCATTGTGATTACACAGGATAATGTCAGTTTAAAAAAGAATTGTGATTTGCATTTCTTAGGCTCACAAGTTTAATGCCTCTAGGAAGCCCTCAGGCACAGCATGAGTGAATAAGGCAAAGTTTCTCAAAGCTGAGGCAAGGGCAGTGGGAACAAAGGTGTGCATTTCTTAACATCCAAAAACAATTAGACCCCAGCTATTACATCACCTAAAAGATCAGATTTTAGGTCATATTCCTGTTTCCATTATAAAGCCAGTCGATTTCAATAGCTCAACAGAATCTTGTCTTTTCTGTTTATTGCACTTTAATGCAGCCAGCATATTGGCAATTAAGTGTCTCTGTGAAGGAAATTGCTGAACCTTAGTTGTGTCTATTAGGGTATGTTTGTGTTTGTAAATCATTCCATTATCACCCTCTGCCTTATTCAGAACACCTGGAAACTGTACTACAATTTGCATTTTCTGTTTATTCCAAATAAGGTTCAACAGCAACATGTGCACATCTCCTATAACAAGCTGGATACCAGTTTTCTATTTACCCTTTATTCACATCAAGACACCCAGGCCTCACAGAATAAGTCAAAGCCCTCCCTAAACACAGAGAGGAAATTTAGATGCAGACTTAAATGTTCCCTTTTCTTTCTACAATTGTCTCCTCTGTACTTGGGAATAGAGTTTTACATTTTACAGAAAGTCTACTTACAAAAATTTTGTAACTCAGACAGTACAGTACATGCTTCTGGTTGCTTGTGTGTACCCTTAAGGCTGCTCCCAGCAGAATAGAATAGAGAGAAAAAAAAATGCTTCTAAGTTATTTTAATTCCTGTGGTATATACAGAGTCCAATTATTATACCAAGAGAGAAATCCCCTGTCTGCCATGTGTGGACCCTTCACATTATTTCAATCTATGACAAACATTCAGTCTTTTATTCTCTTGAGCAAGCCTGTGTGTTCATCGCTAAGCCTAAGCACTTTATATAAAAGGCTTAGCTATAAATAGATACAGGTCTGAGCCATTGCTCATAAAGATGCTGCTTCTATTTGTTCTTCTTTCTTGCTTGGAGCTTTAGCACCATAGTCTGGGAGCTGCCACATTATTTAGGTCTGGTATATAATCTGATTTTTTCTCTACTAATTTCCATTACTCCCATGGCTCCAGGATATATTTTTCAATTTATATTTAAGGAGCTGCTGAATCCAAGGTTTCCAATATTTCCACTGTATTATTTC